AAAGGACTTCTAGGACTTTTTTGAAAGACCAAAAGGAAAAACTTTCATGTTCACTTGAAGTTGAAGAGAAATTTTATTCTAGGCCAAAAATGCCTTGGAAATGAGTTGACTTTAAGTTGACCAAAATTCTCTTCATCTGAGGACCCTAACTTGTTGGCATCATAACTTGAGATGTACAAACTCAATGGATGAGTTCTTGTACTCAAAATAAATCTTGAAACATGCCTAACAAGTCTCATGTTTTCATGAAAATGAGATTGAGTTTGCATTATAGGGAAAAGTGTCCTTGAAGTTAGGCACTAAAGAAGGGGATTTTACACTGAATTCATCTGAAACCCTAATTTAGCAACCTCTTGAACTCTTGACTCTTCTTGATTTGATCCTATCATGTTATCCTAGATGCTTTAAGATGACTTACCATGACCTCAATGACTTAGAACCAAGTTGTAAACCCTCTCAAGTCCGCAGTTGACTCTTGGGTTGACCAGATGAAACCCTAGTTCTATATCCTTTGTCTGTGCCCTTTGCAGATGAATTGAATGACTATACAAGCTCCACAATGACCCTTAAGGTACTCAATGAGATTTTGCATCATGTATTATCCAAGGTAATGACCTCATTGGTCTCTGATGACCCTTTATGATCCTCAAGATAGGAGATAAAATCCACACACCAACTCTTCCTTTCAAGGAACTCTGACACTTTCATGGTGATAAAACCCTGATGGCTTGCACAAATTCCCTTGCTTGAGCTTGAAACCAAGGATACTTTTCTCTTAAATGGCACAACAAACCTCTTGATCCCCTATTAAGATCAATGTTATGTAAATGCAAAATGCTAAAATGAAATGAAACATAAGCCAAGTACAAGAAGATGGTTGGTCAAATTTTGAGGTACAACACTCTATAGTGAATTAATCACTAAATCTTGACATGTTTTGACTTTGACTTAGAAGAAGAAGAATCGAAAAGTGTGCATTCAATAATAGGTAAAAACATCTTAAGTCAAGTGAGGTATGACATTCAAGGAAGAAAATTCATTGAACTACCTCCTAAAGCACCATCAAGGGCAAGACAACGAAGAAAAAATGAAATCCCTCCATCCTCGTCAAACATTCTCAATGACATCCATGATGATCAAAGGGAAATGCATTCAAAGCTTGACAAACTCATTAAGAAATTGGAGAAAATATCTCTTATATCTCTAGTGGTGTCTAGCGAGGATGATGATGAGATGAACTAGTTGTTCCTTGTATGCTTATTAATGCTTGTTTATTCTTTTCAATTTCCTTTGAGTTGAGTAAAATGATATTTTCCTTCCCTAAATAATTATGTTCCCATATGTTTGCATATTTAAATTCTTACAACATCTTTTACTCGCCTTTTTTATTTTGACATATCTCTCTCTCTCATATATATATATATATATATATATATATATATATATATATATATATATATATATATATATATATATATATATATATATATATATATATATATATATATATATATATATATATATATATATATATAATATTGTCAACTTTCTCTCACATATTTTAGTCGTTGCGTTTTCAAGAATGTCTTTTGTTTAGTGAGCAATTTTGTTTTTTGAAAAGGGTATAATTGTAAATTCACCAAGTAATATTTTTATCTTGGTTGAATAACTTGTCCATAAGAAAATGTTTGTTTGGGTTTGAAGATAAACCCTTTGTAAGTTTTGGTTTGGAAATTTAGGTTCTACGTCATCGTCTCGGTTCGTAAGTTAAGTCCGGTTAAAAGCTTTCTTTGATTCGAGATCAACCCTGTTCAAAATCTTAACTTGGTTCGTGGTTATTCTGGTAAAAACCTTTGGTTTGGTTTGTAAGCTCAATTCGGTAAAAAGCTTGTTTTTGTTCAAGATAAACCTGATTTAAAATCTCAATGGTTCGTGGTCGGCCTGGTCAAAACCTCTATTCGGTTCGTGAGTTCACCCTGGTTTTAAAACTCACCCTTGTTTAAGATAAACCTACTGAAAATCTAAATTTAAATTGGGAACTAACTGCTTCAAGTTGTTTGGAAAGAAGACTAACCACTTCAATCAACTATTTGAAAGAAGACTAACCGCTTATCTCCGTTGTTCGTTGTTTGGTTGGAAGTTAGTCTAAAATTTTATTTTTTCTTGTATAAGGGGGTTCGAGAGTTCAACCTATTAAAAGCTCTTAAGCTTTACTGGCTACTTACAAGATCAAATCTTTGGAAGAGAATTAAGTCTTTTCTTTTTAACCCAATATTTATAATTCCTGATGTTATTTCTCTTATCCTTAACTCTTACTTTCAGCATATTTACTTTCCACTGTTATTTCTAAACTATGTTTCAAAATAATTTTAAACTCTAAAAATGACAAAGAAACTTTTTCAAGCTATCTTTTTTATAAAACTCATAATTCACTCCCCTCTTATGCGTGGAGTTACATATCAACAATTTGGGGTTAATGTATATCCAAGGGTTGGTATCCATTCCTCGTCCCTCAAGTTTGAATTAGGTTCAAGGCCAATGTATTAGGGACTCTCCTCTACATTGTGGAGTGGCTAGCTTCCAAAATGAGGGTGAGTTTCGATCACCACTTTGTTTTATGGTCTATGGTTTTTATCCATGTGACTTCCGTTTTGGGATTTTGATTTCTCTAGTAGTATGCTTGTGATGTTTGCGACATCATCCATGGGTCGTGCATGCGCTTTGTGATCATAAGGAAGAAAATTTGTGAAAAATTACTTATTCTCATTGAAAAAGACATTACATTGTGATGGAAAGCATGCTTTATGTGTATAGTAAAAAGAAACTTAACTAAGCAAGTATGTTGTTGGGTGACCGTCCTGGATGACTCTCTGACCAGATAAAGGTCCTTGATCCCGACTTTTTTAAAGTCAATGTTTGAACATTCTTGCCAAAATTTTCCCCTTTATGTGTTCAAGGGAGTGTGTGATGAAAGCTTAACATGAGGCCTTCAGTCTTTTTCATCTCGACAACGGTTGGAGTATCTCTCATTCGTCGAGTTGTGCTTGGGGTTCCATCATCCCCGATTCCTCTCTCCTTCTTCAACTGAGTTCTTCCTTATAATTAATATAGGTATGGGCCTTATCCAACATGTCATTTAGGTTATGGGATCTCTATAATACCCTTTTTTTGTGAAACATGCAGTCCGACCTTAACCCCTTCTTGAATATCCAGCATTTTAAATTGTATGTGTACCTCTAACTTCTACTGCTACTTTTGTGAATTGGTTGATGTACTCTTGTATGGTTTCCTTCATTTTCTATTAGATAACGCTGAACGCAACTATGGAAGTAAGTTCTTAGTTTCACATCATATAATGGAAGATGAATGAGTTCAACAAAACATTTGTCCATTATGTGCCTAAACAGGCTTGCAATTGTTGAAGGCCGTAGATCATTTTATATCCAAGAATTATAGGTTGTGACAAAAGTTTCTTTGACGTTTTTCCTTGGACTGGTTGTAGAAAAGGTTGGGAGATTGAAATATTTTGGAAGGTTCCCTGTCCAATCATTGGAGGTGCTAGATTTTGCAGTGTTGAAATTGTAGAAGTAAATATAACAGAAACATCTTCAATCGAAGGAAGAAGAAGAACCTCCCTTACTAGATCGAGAGTGTTGGTTGCATAAGTAGTTGTGATGTTAGCATTGTGTGTGATAGGTGAGCAAGTGACTTTTGATGCTGCCATGGTAGCATGGATTGGATCGGTGATCTCTACGAGGAAAATATCATGATTTTGAAAAGGAAATATCAATGATTTTGGAAGAGAAAATATCAACAATCTAGAATCATGGTGAAGAGACGGGGGTTCTTCATAAAGATTCACGAGAATCAGAAGTCCATTCCCTCAAATGATGTCATTGTTTCAAATTGGAACTAGAAATTGGTAGCAATTGAATGAAACAGAGTTCTAATGGGATGGAGTGAATTTTCGATACAACGAGGCAAAAATAGACCTGCAAGATTAGGACACCATCACCCAAGTCAATCATTAGATAAAAACGTAATTTAAATGTATATCGAGAATACTTAAAATGTTACGTGTTAAACTTTTTATAGTGTGGATGATAAAACTATCCTTGTGGGATGTGATGCCACATGCAAGTTGTCACGCTAGAGGACAGGACAAGGGTATGGTCACACCTCTTTTGTTGTTATACCTTCCTGTCCGACCCAAAACAACTTTCAAAATTTGTTAATAAGACAATATAGCACACGCCTAATATGAACTAATTCTAATTCTCATACTCCCTATAAAGTTTGGGTTTAAATCACGGTAAATAGATTTAGACTTCACTCTCAAAAGCTAGTATATACGATAAGGTAAGATGATGGTACACAAATACATTTTCAATTTCAAATAATGTCTAACCATAAGATTATTTTATAATGATCCTATTAATAAAGGAATAAGCTACAATTTAGTTCAGTTTTCTACTTTAAAAGTGAAAGGAAGAAGATTTTAATGAATAAGAAAAAAATATAAATCTAACCAAGATCCATCAGTGATAGAACATTTCAACGAATCAGAGGTACGAAAGCTTTAAATTCACTTGAGAAATTCGTGAATGTGAACTGTAAATTGTAAACATGAAAGACTTGCGACATTTTAAATGAAAATCCTCAACAGAACCACTACTCTACAGTCTACTACAGAAACATTGATCACATTTAATGACCATTAGCTGGATAGAAAAACACATTAAACACTGCAGATCAGCCCCATGCTGCTTCTATGCCCCACTTTGAATAACATATAGTTAGAATCAATTCCCAGATTAACCACGTAGTGGAGCAAATACCACACTAAAGTCGATTAAGGAAAAAGAAATTTGCGCCCATGAATTTGACTTTAAGTGGGCAAAAGATCAAGTAGTAGTGACTTAAATAGTTCATTCATGTAGCTAGCTACCCTTTCAGGAGAACCAATTTTCTAAGCACATTGACAAATATTTGAACCAAACTTATGAGGTGTACTCAAAGGGTTGAGGAGGTTGAGGTTCCTCATCCACAGCCATTGCTGATGAAGAACTCTGCAATCCTGTTCCTGATGCACCAGCAGTTGATGTGGTAGATGCAGGTGTGTCAGTGATGGCGAGGATTTCAGGCTCAGTAGGACGCAAGTCTTTTAGAAGTACAAATCCCGAAGGTGCCAACTTAACTGGAACATATCTGCTGTCCTGCAAAAATTTAACGAACTTCTCCTGAGCAGGAACCACTCTCGCTGGATTTGTTAGAATCTCGAAAGAAGGCTCGGGCTCAGATTTCTTTTCCGCTGGGCTATCAACCTTTGAAACAATAAAGTTTAGATATGTTAAAAAAGTTGCACATGGAAATCAATTACTTTTAACAGAAAACATACAAGTGATGGATCGAACAAACTGATAAACCAAATATGCATCACCTGCATGGCTTCTCCATCCTTCTCACTTGAAGACTTCCCTTTTCCAGCACTTGAAGCTGATGTAGAGTCAGGACCAGATGCAACTTCAGCACTAGCCTTCTGTTCTTCAGCTTTCTTACTTGCCCTAGCTTTGGCTTTAGCTGATGTCGACAAAACAGCTGTTGGAAGTTTAACAGTTGATGTAGTGGTGGGAACAGTAGTAGGCTTAGGGTATTCAAAAAGCGAAGGCTTTGCATGTGACAAGAACTCAAACTTAGGAGATTTCAGATCATAGTTGAGGCCGATAAGAGCCGTTGGTGAAAAAGCCAAGCTAATGAAATAGATAAGAGGGTACCAATACCAAAATTGACTGAAAACTGCAAGACCAACCACTGCAGTAATTTTATCATGCTTTGTCTTAGAAAGTAGTCTTATGGTCACATTTCTTCCACCAGCATCAAGTATTCCAGAGGCCAAAATTGCCCCCATCTTGCTCATGGTATCCTCATGCTTGTCCAGGATAATTTTCTCTAATTGTCGCCTAGAATACATGGCATGTCAGAAATCAACAAATTTATTGCTTCGACATCAATATAATTAGTTTTTCTTACCTGAACGTTCCAACTCGTGAATCACTAGCTTCACTAATCTGAACCATGACCATAGCCATTGCTATGAGGGCACCCTGACGAACAAAATCAACGACATCCGATGTCAAAGGCTCCAGCAAAGATATGGCTTCACTGAGACCTGTACCAGCACAGGAAATACCCACAGCAAGAGCTGCTCCATAACGAACATGTGGGTTGTAGGATTCTGATAGGAGAGAAACAATTCGTGGAGTCTGCAGTGTAGGAAAGTAACATTGCAAATCTCAACAAAATCAACGAAAAACAGACGACAGCCACAAAAAAGCAATTTAGGACAAAGGGAATAAAAAAGAAAAAGAGAGAACTAACCTGCTCTGGATCAGAGTACAATACAAATCCTAATGCTAGAACCGCAGTCCTCCTAACATCATCACTCACATCAGACACGGCAAAGTGCAGTAATTGACGAATGGCCTTATTGTTTGCTGTTCCACTATAGGCCAAAGCCAGTGCATACATGCCACCATAACGTAATATTGGATCCTGATCCCGAGTCATCTGCTCAATTAAAGTGTCAGCTTCTTCTTCTCTTCCATAAACCGTAAGAGCAATTCCCAGCGCTAACCCTCTGAAATATTTATAAACCGTAAATAATTAGAGCAAGAGATGCGATGGTTTAACAGCTTGCTGAGTGAGACGCCCTTACCTTATAATCTTTTCATGTTGTGTCTCGTGTGCATAAGTGAGCATTTCATTTGCCTTATCACTGCCTGTTCCAACCATGAGTAAGCCCATACTGATTCCAGCAGCTTCGCCAGCAACAGCACTATCAGTATAGAGAACATTTTTTATTTCTTCATAAATATCCTCGTCAGCGGTTCCTAGGGATGCTAATCCAAGACCCAGACATGCACCATGTTGAATGACCTGGCCATAAACAACACATTACATATAGCAATAATCTTTTTTTAAGGGAGGATGATCAGTATTTATGAGCACCTCAACAGTAGTACTGCGCAAGCTATCGCGGAGAAATTGTTTGATACCCTCTCCATGATTGGCATGAATCAGACCAAGGGCATACAGAGCACCACCTTCTGAGTATGGACTACCACCACCACCTGTCCCACCCTGAGGCAAGTAAGGTGCCATCAGTGATCTTCCCTGCTGTAAATGACCTCTATGGATAACACCAAGTCCAGCAGTTGCACTAAATTTGGCCCAATTTGTAGCTCTGCTCAACCAATCCTAAAATTTTCCAAGGGACAAAAATCTTAAGAATGGGAAACTACAGGGAAAGAGGGGGAAACAAATACTAAGCGGCAATAACTGACCAAATTTTCCCGCAGGAAAGTATCCACAGTTGTTCCAGCATGCATTATCGCATTGGCATAGATGGTAGCACTGTGGCAGACACTATTTCTCATCTCAACAGACTGCTTTATGGTCTTCAGAATAAGGAGGTCAGATCTGAATGCAGATTACATCCAAGCAGTATAAGAACTAACATACTACCAAGTAACAACAAAGAAATGGCAATCTAAAAAATATTATTAAAGAAAATGGTCTCACTTGTTATGACTGTAAAGGAACTGCAGAGTCAGCTGTATTGAAGTTTCCCCAGACAAAATTCCCTTTATTTTGCTTAATCTCTCAGCATACAACTTCTCACTAGGATCCTCAGGCACACTGACAGCAGAAGCCGATTCACCATCGACCATTGGAACATCATCTGCTCCATTGACACCAGCATTCTGAGTAGAATCTGCATCACTGGGTTTTGGCTCTACAGGTTCTGAAGGTTGAGACTTTGGCAATGCAAGGCGATCTCTAACATTTAGAAGAAAAGCTTGATGCTCGTTCTCAACCAAATCAAAAGCTATTTGAAATGCCAAAAGAGAATCGTCTTTATTTTCAGAACGTAGAAGTTTTTCCAAAATGCTCGCAACACCCTCCGGCACATTCAAGAACATAAGACACTGACAAATGCTCAGATAATCTGGTGAAGGAAGCTTTTGAAATACTTTAACAAGGAGACGGAGAACCTAGATAAAAAGAACATGGAATAATATCAACTTTTGCCAAAGACACAATTGATAAAAAGTCTCTTCACATTTTGCAAGTTTCTAGATATGCCACATATCAAGTAGCCAGAGAATAATCTTTATTCATTTATACAATATGTTTAATTCCAATTTTATATAGCATTCATCATATCTTCCACCTTCTCATCCGGATAAATCTGTCTGGCAGTGCAAACAGTTATCTAATTTGAGAACAGTTGATAAAGATTTAAGAATCATATTTAGTATCAACGCCCATAGAGATGTTTATCAAAAACAGTTTCTGTTGAATATAATCTAATAACTAAAAGATCAGTGGGGAAGTTTGCACAAAATCTGCCAGGGGTTAACTCTAAAAGAAAAAATAAAATATACTCTTAAAATTAATATATTAAAATTAACTAATTAATAAGCAAAAAAATGACAACAACTTTTACCTATATAAAATGTAAATTAAAGCACCACAAAGGAAATAAAAACTGACAGTAGCTACCTAAAAAGAATGAGTTCAACGACACTTCATAGTCAAATTCATCCATAATTGATGTTGTATTAAATAAATGAACTAGTAATATCTATTTCAGTGTGAAAAAAAATATTTGCAAGAAATTTATCTTCTGTTTTGTTTTAGAGCCATTTCTTAATATTTTTATTGTTGGCAAAGCTCTCATTGTAGTTACTGTAGAGGCTGGAAGTGACAAAACAAGACAAATAAATTTATCAATCAAATAATAATTTTTTAACCTTCCTATTTCTACTACTTTTTGAAAATAAACATGTTTGGGGTAGCTAAATATATACTATTAGATTATGTAAATATAAAATCATTCTAACTAATTGAAAATGTTAATAAATGGGGTAGCCAGGGCTAGCCCATGGTAGCACGCTCCGCCCCTGTATAAGAAATGTCACTTGCCTCTTGTCTGTATTCTCTAAGGCTCACAAAGGAATGAGAGACGTGAATGCAGTATGATAGAGTTCCTTGAACATTGTCACTCTTTGTAATTGCTTCCTCAAGTTTATCCAATCTCCTGCATTCAATGGCAGTTCCCATAGCTTGTTGGTATTTTCCGTCCACTATACACCTGAGTTAAGGAAAAGCAACAAAAATTAAGGGAACTCAAATTCCCAAGGCACGCTTGGATACAAAAAAAAAATAATAAGAATAGTTACAGTTATACATACTTATCCAACAATCTCTCCACAATTGCTTCAAGCCTTGGGTCCACTTTGATAGATTCATCACTTGACTCCGCTGCCTTACACTTGAGACTAGCATATTCATCTATAGCTTTAGCTGAAAACATAAGATTTCATACAATGTCAAATGCATTGTGTCATGATTTTAATTTTTATAAATGTAGCACAAAACTAGTTTATATTAGTGACATTATTTATAATTTCATTAAATCAAATCGAAATGAATAAAACCACTAAAAAGCAACACCACCAAGTGAACCAATATTAACAATGCAGCCCGTTTTCATATACAAAATGATATCCTAGAAAGATCCGTACATGGCTTTAAATTAAATAGAATAAAACCAATCCTCACCTAGAAGAGTGTGGACATAGTCAGAATCCTCTGAAACATCAAACAGAGGACCAGCTCCAAGGGCATAGGATAGTGAGTCATTCAGCTCCCCCAAGTAATAAAAGACCTAAGATTAAGGAGATGATCGAAATCAGATACCAAAACACAAACAATGAGACCAACTCCAGCTTCAAAGGACAATAACTTATGGATATGAAAAATCTTATGGCTTCTAGTGGTTGGTTTAGAAGCCGGGTACAATAAAAAAGATGTAACCCAATACTTATTTCTTATATCTCAAATATCATGGAAAAGACACATCTGCATCACACAAATTTAAATAGAAGATGATAGTTCATATAATTAGCAGAATAATAATACCTTAGATACAAGTAGTGCAGCAAGTTGCCTTTGGTGCTGATCAAACTCCTCATCTTCATACAAACTCTCTCTGTTTAACACACACATGTTTAATCTTCAACATTTTCATTCCAACAGTTCACACTTAAAAAACCAATTCAACCAAGAAGCACAATGGCATGAACACGCCCAAAAAAAAAAAAAGAACAGAAGGACACAATAACAAAAAAAAAAACCACATTATGGTATAAACTCCTACAAATATAATTGAACTACTATAACGTAATTGAAAAATCAAACCTATTGCTATAATTGAAGTTATATTTCTTCATTATTACCCTAAAAAACTGAAAATAGTGAAGCAATTGAAAAAACCCAACTACTTTACATCTAAAAAAGGCATAATCATTCAAAGAAAACAAATTGAGAATCATAAACACAAAAATCGATAAAGAAAAGGAGAAGGAATACATGAGGGGAACACTGGTGGAGATCTCTGGCCAGAAGCTGTCGACCAAATTGTTGAGGTTAGAGAGAGCGTGAAGCTTGAGCGAGAGATGAGACTCGTTGAGCATCGCCAACATACCACCGGCAGAGCTCACCAACGTCGTCGCCATGATTGGGAACAATTGGAATAGTTAGGGTTAGGGTTTGGGATTATTGGAATTGGCGATCTGAGAAAATGGAACGAAGAAGAAACTGAGAAAGGGTTTGTTGTGAGTTTTAATAGTGTATGTGTGCTACTTTTCTAAGCTTTGTATATTAGCATCTTCATTTTTCTTTTTCAACACGATATGTATAAATTTTTAACTTTTTTAATTTTGAAGAAAAATATTTCTATATAATTTTGTAAAATGTATTAAAACTTCTTTTTATATTTAATTATTATATAAATTTTAAAATAAATGATACTAATCATAGTCAACTTTATAAGAGACACTATAATTTATTTGATTAATAGGGAAAAAAATAGATTTGTGCAAGAAGTTTGAGTAAATAGGAGTTTGAGAGGCAGCGGAAAAACCTAAGTTTTTAAGGAAAAGTTTTAACTTTTCTGTAGATTTGATGTAAGGAGAGATAATTCATCTATGAGGGTGTTTTTCATAAAAGACTAGATAGGGATTCTAACCCTCTTTTTTTTGTTTTCCTTTATTCTTCATTGTTGAGGTTTTGAGTCTTTGAGATGGTTATGCATAACTTTCTGGATTACTTTGTTTTGAATTTATTTTTGTGTTGTGATTATGTGTTGAATTTGTATGCAAATTATATGTGAAATTTGGATGGGTGTTGTTCTTGTTGATGTGTTTTGGTGGTGATAAACATAATGATAAAGTTTATAATAAATTAATGTTAAGGTGTAATTGGTGCTGATTTGGTGTGTTATGTGTCTAATATATTATGTATGATGTTTTTATGGTCGATTTGGGTGGTTAGGGGTTTAAGTTGGAGCTTTGGAAGTGCTCCACCAGCGGAAACGCAAATTCTGCAATCTGCACAGCGCGGACGGGTCAATCGTCATGCATCTAGGAGAGCTGACGGGCCTCGACATAGTGACGGGGCAACCGTCATGGTCCTTTAGTTAGGTTTTTCACCCGAGCGTCAGCAAAGTGACGGATTGTGAGAGAGAGGGCGACGGGTGGGGTGACGACCATCAGTCTGGTGACGAGTTGACCCTCAGCCCCTAAATTTGATCGGTGTTGAGTGGTTAACTTGATTTTTCGAGTAGTTTATGATGGTGGTGATTGTTTGTTGTTGTTTGGATGAGTAAGATGAGTTTAGTCGGTATGTTGGTGTTGTGTGAATAAAATGAGTGATGTATTGAGTTATTTGACATGTTCAGAGCTGAGTCACAAGGTAATCGAGTTGAGATTTAGAGTACGTCTTGTGACTATAAAATTCTTGAATAAAAGTGAAAGAGTCGGTATGAGCTATGGTGAATCGTGAGTTGACTCTATTGAGTGTTGCTAAGAAATATCATTTGTCAGTGAGTATGGTGTGAGTAATCATATGATTGTGTATGTTATGTTGAGTTATCATTACATAGTATGCTGAATTATGGTGAGATATATGGTTCGAAGAAGAATCGTTGGTGATGATTATTGTATTACATTGTTGTGGTATTTTATGCATCATGTATATTAGAGATAGACAATTAATGATGATTATTGATGAGACTAAATCAGTAACATAACTTTGATGTCTAAATATTGGTGATGAGTTTGATCAGTAGTATAACTTTGACATCCAAATTTGTGAGTAGATTGGCACCGCGTGCATTTGGTGATGAGGTGATGAGTGCATTGTGTATACATTTGCACCCATGAATGATAATGGTTGTGAATGATATATAAATATGTTAGTGGTTGGTAATGGTTGTGAATGATATATAAATATGTTAGTGGTTGGTGATGGTTGTGAATAATATGCATATTTTGATGTTTGAGTATGTTATCCTTTGTTGCTTTATACACTACTAACATTTTTGAACGTATTCTCACCCCTAGTTGTTTTGTTTGTGGTGTTTTGTAATCTCGCGGTACAAATACTCAGGTACATGAGCACTATGTTGGAACAAGTTTGGTTCTACATTTATACTTGAGTTTTGAAGATAACAAAGTGTAGGGAACAATTTTGTACTCTAACTATTATGCTAAGTGAACAGATAATAGAAAACAAATTCTAACTCTAAAGACGTCCAGACTTTGAACTAAAGACGCATTATAACCCAAAGGATCTATCAAAAGCATGTATACAAGGAAGTCAAGCATCTGGATTTTTGAGTCAACACTTATGCAAATAAAATATATAGATAGACTCTGATAAAGACTGTGTTAATTCAAGCATCTGAAGTCTTAGAACTTTGAAGTCTCATTCTCACCAGGTTCTGAAGTGAGGTTAAGAACTCTGCTCAAGCTTCATCAACTTTAAAACAAAGCTCTGACTAGAAGCTTATATCCAAAATTCAATGAGCGATTAAAGATACAGAAGTACAAAAGTTAAATCTACTTTCTACTGAAAAAGGAATGTACTTTATCGTACGAAGTTGCTCACGTCCCATCATCCTCACTAACGCTATATTGCAAGTGCCCCTCTAATATTGTAAAATGAAGTGACCTTCATACAACTGTTATAGTGAGGATATTCCAACTTCATCTTCCAACAAATATATTTTTTCCTATATAAAGAGGTCTTGGAAGCTTGGAAGAAAAAAATTAGGATAATATACAACACTGCATAAGGTTGCAAAATGCTCTTATCTGAAAAGAAAATGAAAAATGTTTTCACTCTAGGAAAACTATAACGTTCGTACGTGTTCAAAAACATTCTTAAAATATTTCTTAAGTGTATTATTTGTTTTAAACTTGTGTATGTGTTTTTTTAGAAGCGTCTGGTAAACACAACCTTTTTTATCTTAACCTTTGGTTAATTTCCGTGAGAGACTAAGTTTAGTCAAAATATTAAGAAGTTATTAGCGGTTACTTTTTGAGTTGTATTTCCTTGAAAGACTATGTTATAGTTAGAATTCTCAAGAAGTTTTAAACAGTTATTCTTTTAGTAGTATAATCAGTTTGATTATTAGATTAAGTCCTTATTGAGAATGAAAAATCACTTAAGTGGTGGACTAAAAGTAGCTTAATTAACAGTGAACTAAGATAAAAAATACTTGTGTTCTTTATCTTTGTCTCATCTTTTCTGTTTGAGTTCTTGGGTGGAAAAAAGTTTTAAATCTAGAAACCCAATTGAAACCCCCCTCCCCCCTTTCTTGTGTTTCTTGAACTTTCAATTGGCATCAGAGTTTCGGTTCTGGTTTTGACTACTTTGCGTCAAGCACTTAAGTGTGTCAGATAAAGATCCATATTTTTTGAAACACCCTATGGCTCATACAAACAATGATAAAGATCATTATTTTGCAAAACCTTCAATCCTTACTAGAGAAAAGTTCGATTATTGGAAATATAAAGTTGAAAGTTTCTTCATAGGTTGTGATGTTGATCTATGTGATAGGGTAATTGAAGGCTCTGCCGATTTGAGCAAATTTTGGTAAAACTGAATGTTGCATAAGATGTTCCAACAAGAAGAATTCTGTTGAAAGAAGACATGTTGGATAAGATGTCCCAACACGATGTTAGGACATCATGTTTGTTACTGATGCACATGATTTTGTTTCAGCAGAATATTTGCATAATAGTTCCAAGATTTAAGGCATGGATTAAGGAATAATTAAATATATATTTTGAAGCCCATGGACAGCAGAAGGTTATAAAAGAAGACTAAGACCTAGGGCAAAATCTGAACCTCTTGTAACACTTTTGTAAAGGGAAATAAGGGTTTAGGATTTTGAGAGTCGTAAGCTTTCTTGTGTTGTAAGTCTCCCTTTGTATCGGTTTGATACATTGTGGTAGACATGGATGTTTATGCAGATTCAGTAACCTGTAGGTAATGAATTGTGTATTGTTCTTGGATGAAGCTTTGAAGCAAATTCAAGTAGATTGTCAGTCAAGGTTGCTTGACTGAACTTTGGATTGAAAGAGGTGTCTTTCAAGTAGGATGATATAATTATTATGACTATAATTGTTAGATATCACAGATTATGATTGTTAGACTATGGCACGGATCTAGAAGGGGGGTTGAATAAATCCCAATTAAAATTTGAGTCGGCGCTACCAATTAAAAAATTGGTTTTGAAAATTTGTTTTAAGTGCGGAAGCGGCCGAGGAAAATATAGTCTAGAACGAACGGTTATTGGAAAACCGGATATGTGTTAAGCCTGTGGATTAATGACAATATGGAAGAAGAATCACAACACTAGTCACACTTATCAATGATCTAATTCACTTGTTAGGATTCCTAGTTCCAATGATTTAAAGAGCAAACCAAAACTAGATACACAAATAAGATAATTTCGGTTTAGGCAAATTGGCGAACACTTGGTGTGCAAAAACACTCCAAGTGATATTTATGTTGAGTAAGTGATTCCAACTAGCCTAGTACAATGTCTTATTGTACTTTGGATTCAAAAACAGAGTTTCAACCTCTTACTCAATTGATATCACAGTTTGACAATAGTGCTTATATGAAAATCACTTATTTTTAAGCTAAAACGAAAATGCTGAAAAATAGAGAAGACAAAGATTTGGTGAGGCAGTTCCCCCGTCGTCCTCGCTTCGGGGTACGTCTGCCCTCAATTCTAAAACTAGAATTGAGATTGATTTAATAGATATCACCTGTTGAATGTAACAGTTTATACAAGGATTAAACAGCAAATATACAACAGAATTCTTAAGACGTTGAATGTTGCTTCCACTCCTTGCCCCTTGATTCAAGATGAATCAAGTCCTCCGATCGTTGTTGATAGACCTCCAATTCCAGCCCCTTTATTGAATAACCCTCAGTTCTTCAAACCTTCGGCCTGGCTGATCTCAACTACAACGAATCGAACCCGAGAACTTCCCTTCAATATCACTGAATCCGCTACTAGATTGATGAAGACTTCCTATTCACAATCACCTTCGCTCAACTGACCCTTGATGAAGAATCTCGTCCAAAAATCAAACCAATCTTGGAGGATAAAACCCTAAAGGTTTTATTGAAGAAAGAACATGTCACAAGCTTCAAC